CCTGCTAACACGAAGGCTGGACTCGAACCACTGAAGCGTCGACCATTTCTGGCCGGCAACTTTCAGCGTCATTCCATAAAACCTTGTCATTTCAGTCCTGATGTCAGCAAAAGTCCATTAAGGGGTACCAGAGATAACAACATATCTGTTTTGTTTGAATCTTGATCAACAAAGGTACCAGAGATAACAACATATCTGTTTTATTTGAACCTTGATCAAATAAACCAACTTTATATTCCTTTTTACTTCTAACCATTTGATCTTTAGTTCCTTCAAATAATGTGGTAGAACTTAATTTCTTTTCATTTTTTCTTTGTCCCTTCTCACAAAATTATTCAGAGCTTTAACAAGTCTCTCTTGTAAATCCGATATAGGAAAATTATCCAAGTCACTCTTTTGGTTTCTTATTTGTATATCCTTTTTAATTATTAAGACATCAGCCAGTTTCTTTTGTATGTCCAGTGTAACATCTTTTTCCATGTCATTCTTCAAATCAGTCTCAATCATGTCAGGTAAAACTTGTTCCTCTTCCATAACATCTTTAAAACACAGTCTGTCTGTAGAGGCAGACACTCTTAAAATTAACTTCTGGGTCCGTTGTTCAAAAATATCCTTCAATATGTCTAATGTTAAAATGTTTTGCTTCATTCTGTAATTATAAGTCAAGTTTGAGTGTTCTTCTCCTTTAATTGTAATTTTAGTTCCCTCTAATGTCCAATTTTTAAAGTCATATCTTATTTTTCTTTTTTTAAAAATCAAAACAAAAGCATTTTCCCACAGGAAGGATTCTTTATAGTTAATTCCAAAGACTTATTTCAAATTTATCTGGACCCTTAGTCCATTTGTAACTTTATAAAATCAAAGTTTTAATCACCCTTTTGCTGTTTATTCCTTAACTTGTATTTAAAACTTCTTTCGCTAAGGATTGAAGGAAACTCACCCAGCACTGTAAAACTTGTCAATCCAAACATTCCTAATAGTTGAAAAGCAGTTAACAAGCAATTTCTGAAAGTGATTAGAAAAGCAAATATGCAAAATTAGTGTCTTTTTAAAGGTGCCAACTGCAGTTTGACAAAATGGCTATTCCCTCATCTCCCAGAGTTCTAAACCTGCTGGAGACTGTGTCTTGCAGTCTCCTCGTGAGAAGTAGCTGTCTGGAGTACTTGTGGGCGATCACAAGTCCTCTTCATTCGGCTACGGTCGTCAGCTCTGTTTTTCATGGAGCCAACTTCAGTCCACCATTTCTTTCCTGGAAGTCCCTCCACTCCCGCTGCCTACAGGATCTGGAACATTAGGTGTATGCTGATGCCAGTGGATGTACTCCATGAAAGCTTATGCTATAATAAATTAGTCATTAATGTGCTACAAAACCTGGTGGTGTTTTGTTGTTGAGGCAGAATGGCACAGCTGCCCCTTCGGGAAATTATTCCTTCCGTGGCATTTTACAGTCCATTCCAATCCTGTTTTGATAAGACCTGTTGCCAAATCTTCCTTTAATCGGCACAAAGACTTTGCAAAGGTCTTAATTACGTGTTTAAAGGTACTGGAGATGCTTGTTAGAAACAGTGGTTTCTAAACTCCCTTCCTCCCCCCACAATTCCTCCCCCCCACACACACACACATTTCTCCTGCTGCTTTCCTCTCATTACAATGCCACAGGGGCTTGCATTTGTGTGGAGCAACCTTTTGATTTTTAAATTAAATGTCAGCTGCAGTTTTTGCCCTGGAATGGCAAGCGTCCTCAGAGAGCCTGGCGCTGCTGCTTCTCTCTTCCCTAACACCAGTGCTTTTGTATGTGGCCAATCAGATGTAATTTATTACATGCATTCCTGGGCAGACTCGAGATATGGCTGCAAGCTGGGTGAACTGTGATATTGGACAGGGAGGGGTGGGAAAGGAAGCAAACAACAAAGCTGTTTTAGGGGATTCAGCACCTTAATTCCTCCACTTACATTCTCTGGCCCAGGCCAGCAGCTTTCCCCAATTTCCGGGTGGAGGGGACAGTCATTCTCCCATGATGGTGTCAAGGTGAGCTGGAGACCTGAGGCAGAGGCAGCCATGACAGGAGCCTTCTCTCGCCTCTTTTGTTTCCCATTAGCAGCTCACCGACATGAAGACCTGCATGCAGTTCTCCATTCGCCGGCCCAAGCTCCCCTCATCCGAGACCCACCCGGAGGAGAACACGTATAAGCGCTTGGATGTCTCTGCGTGGCTTCGTCATTTAAACAAGGCTGGACAAGTAGAAGAAGAGTACAAGCTGAGGAAGGTGAGAAGGAACTCACCGGTGGCATGTTTTGCTCTGCGGGTTTTAACAGGAGAGCCTCACTCTGGCAGACTCTGGCATTTGAGGATCTGGGTTCATTTTGTCAGGAATCTGTCCATTGTCCCTGAGGGCCTAATCCTTGCAAGAAGGGAAAAACTGAATTGCTCCCTCCTTCCCAAGTTTGATTGCTGCTAATGCATTGTATGCCACTGCTCTTTGAGAGGAGGATCTGCAGCTGTTGCCGGGGTGCTGGTGCTGCCCCTCAAGCCCCAAGAAAGTGCTCAAAACAGTCTGGCTTCGAGTAAATAAGGGGTGGAATATCTGTGCACGGCTGGGTCCAAGTGTACCATTTCCAAGATTGGGGATTAAGCTGTGACGTGAGAATGATGCGTTAATTGTATAGGCCCTCCAGGGGACTTATTGACATTGAAATTAGTTGATTTGTATCTCCCCTGGGAAATGGGAGGGCTCTGCTTTCCCTCCCAGCATATGCAGATTGTAGGCTCCTGAATCAAGGGAGCTCTTGTCAAGGAGAGTAAAAAGAGTTCCGTTTCAGAAACTATGACATTTTCTCTGAACTAGGTTCTCATTCTTCTTCCCTCCTTAGGCTATTTTCTTTGGTGGGATCGATGTCTCAATTCGTGGTGAAGTTTGGCCGTTCTTGTTACGCTACTATAGCTATGAATCCACTTCAGAAGAGAGAGAGTCTCTCCGTATTGCAAAGAAAGAGGAATATTTTGAGATCCAACAGAAAAGGTGGCTGGGAAGAGATGGCTAATGTGTCAAGATATTGTTGTAAAATTACCTTGCCCTGCCCTTACTCCATCCCCTTATCTCTATACCCAGTTCATCTTCTGGTAAACTTCCCAGGCAGCAGTGATCATCATCATCATCATCATCTTTTTAGATAGATAGATAGATAGATAGATAGATAGATAGATAGATAGATAGATAGATATCAAGGTGGCGAACGTACCTAATACTCCTGCCTCCTATTTTCCCCACAATAACAACCCTGTGAGGTGGGTTGGGCTGAGAGAAGGTGATTGGCCCAAAGTCGCCCAGCCAGCTTTCATGCCTAAGGCAGGCCTAGAACTCACCGTCTCCTGGTTTCTAGGCCAGGACCTCAACCACCACATCAAAGTAACTCTCTCCTAACTAAGGACCAGTCCCTTGCTCAAAGCATCCATGTTGTTATAAACAGGAGTAGGGAGTACCCATTACCATTGTGGTAGATAGAGGGAGATTTGACTGGGAAAGAGTTCCAAGTGAAAGAAGTACATCAGAGACCTGATTCACGTGTCACATTAAGCCATGATTTCTTTAAATATGATTTGTTGAATAAATCACAGCTGGTTTCACACATATCAAATCATAAAATATAGTTTGCAAACATAATGGTTGGGTCTGTAGGGCTGACTGTGTTGACATATACCAACACCTGCTGGGAGAGGTCATCCAGAGTTTAGGGCTTGGTACCACCAATAATCTGATGACAGCCAGCCCTGTCCCTACTTTTTATCGAGTTCCAAGGAATCTGCACGCGTTTTTCAAGCGTGGTCGAAGAACCTGAAGCGTTCTGGTCAATCAGAAGGAAGAGCAGGAAATCAGGTTTCAAACTGTTAGTTGAGATCACACTCACCGTGAAAACTCAAGCTTTTCCATTTACGTATGGTGCATTCACCTCTGAACCTGACCAGGAATGTATTTGCACAATGAAAGCTAGTACTACGACTTGTACCCTTGACCTATTTGGGCTATAGTAGCCCACTATTCCTGGGTCTGCCTTTGAAAAGGGTTTGGAAATTTCAGCAAGCGCAGACCCCTACATTCAGGCTGTCGATGAGGGTGAGTTGTAGGAAGCACTTGCCTCCCTTGTTACATGCTCTGTATTTCAGGCTACTGGGACTTGGTTAGGTGAAAGGCTGCATTCTTCCGTTTAGAACTGCCTTCTAAATTTCAACATCTTCGACATCTTCAGGCAAGGTTCTTCCCTCAGTCCCACCATCATCAGAAGCACATTTAGTTGTGGAAAAGGCGGCTGTATTGGGTGCTTTTGATTTTTGTGACCTCCTGCCAAGGGGAGCTAGGTTAGTGCACATTCTACTGCCAACAATCAGATGAGTCTAATTTTTGGGGTGGTCTTTGAGGATTTTAAGTTGATGCAGAACTAAGCTTTATAACTGCTTTTTTTAAAAAAAGCAGTATTCTACTTGTCATTTTGTGTGTTGTGTATAGTTTACTCCTGTGTGCCCTATCTGGAGTGCAAAAGTAGTTCATGTTAGGGCTGTGCGGTGCTTTGCACTGGGAAGAGAGGCTTCAGAATGCCTTGGAATCCAAACAGAGCACCTGTCTGCAGCTCGTTCAAGAAGTTTCTAGGATCACGCAACTGCATTGGAAGCCCTTTGCAGCAGCCAAAAAAAAAGACACAGTTGCTTTAATGAGTAGCAGCAGGTGCGGGATATGCACTCCCACGCATTCCAGAGCATCTCTTTCCAACTGAATCTGACACACTGCAAAGCTCTAGCATATGTGTGCAATAACTAATGTGTTCCTCAGGCTCTCCCTAGCACCAGATGAGCAGAAGGCATTCTGGAGGAACGTGCAGTTCACTGTTGATAAAGACGTGGTGAGGACTGACCGCAGTAACCAGTTTTTCCGAGGAGAGAACAACCCCAATGTGGAGACTATGAGGTGATAATTTTGCCCAGTTGGTACCAAACAGTACACTGAGTGCACCTAATTGGAAAATCCAAATTCATTCCCACTTGGACAAAATCTTCCAGAGGACTTCCAGGCAATCCTGAGAAAGTCACAGGCCCTTTCACCTGAAGTGGCTAATAATACAAGTGCAAAGCAGTTTCAAAGGCTTCCCATGCCTTGTCTCTTTAAGCAGCCTTTCCCGTTCTGGGGCCCTGGATGTGGCCTGCGTGTCTCAGAATTCCTAGCCAGGAGGTTCCAAACATATCTTGGCTGGGAATTGAGAGAGCTGTAGGCCAATTAACTGAAGGGCACTAGGGTAGGAAAGGCTGCTGGACCACAACCCAGGAAGATGTGAGTTTTATGCCCAATATTGCAGGTGGGAGATTAAAGCAGAGAGAAAATGCTTTGCCTCAGGCCTCTAAGGAGCACGGGTGGTCCCTGTTCTCCTGCAAGTCATGTATTTTCTGTGTCGTGGTTGTCCTTTTCTCCCCATTTTCCTTTACTTTAAAAGAAGCTTCTGGCCAGTGATTCCTTGGCAGGGGAAGCACAGAGGTCTTTCTGACTTCCATCATCCTAACCTCACTTTCTGTGTGTGTTTGTTTGTTTTACTGTCCCCTTAGGCGGATCTTGCTAAACTATGCAGTGTACAACCCAGCCATTGGCTATTCCCAGGGCATGTCTGATCTCGTGGCCCCCATCCTCGCTGAGGTTCTGGATGAATCGGATACTTTCTGGTGCTTTGTTGGTTTGATGCAGAACACGATCTTTATCAGTTCCCCCCGGGATGAGGACATGGAGAAGCAACTGGTGAGGCTTGGAGCTGAGGGCCTTCTTCTTTTCCTCTCTGGTCCCCTCCCCATCGTTGCCAAAGAAATCCAAAACGTGGTATCTGCATGTGGGGCTGCTAGCGACCCCGTGTATCCCATGGGAGAAGTGGAAGTGTGTGAGCAATCAGAGTTCTGTCAGAGAAGCAGATACGGGAAAGTTGTGCTCACAGGAGGCCCTGGCAATGCAGAAATGCCCACTTCCCGGCAGCTCCCAGTGCTTCTTGCCCAGACCCAGCATTCTTGTTTGCATGTTATTTTTTGAATTGGTTGGTAGATCAACCAATGCAGCCAGCTTCGGGAGGCGTGCGAGCTTCTACTGATCCAGGAGGGTATCAGGAGGGAATATAGGAAAACGAAAAGGAGTAATTGTGGCTGTCACTTTCTGCTCATCCCCTTCCCCTGCTGAGTAGGCTGTGGCGGCGCTGAGTGCCATTTTCTCCTTGCAGATGTACCTTCGAGAACTGCTGAGGCTGATGCACGTACGCTTTTACCAGCACCTGGCCTCCCTTGGGGAGGACGGCCTTCAGATGCTTTTTTGTCACCGCTGGATCCTCCTCTGCTTTAAGCGAGAGTTTCCGGACGCTGAAGCTCTGCGCATGTGGGAAGCCTGCTGGGCTCACTACCAGGTGAGGCCTGAGGGCACCTTCGTCCGGGCCCTGTGCTGCCCTGGCAGGAACTGCCGCCCATTGTGGCCCCTGCTTTCCAGCTCCCTGTGCTAGCCTGGATGGGGGTGAGCTGAACACGCACCCTGCTCTCATCTGAGCGACCAGCTGGCCTTCTCCTCAGTGTCCCCCGCCCCGTTGGTTTCCTCTGACAGTACACAAACCGATGTAAATTTCGCTCTGACGGTTCATTGCGGAGCTTCTGGGCCGCTCTTGTTGCCGTCGCCACCCATCAGCCTGAAATGCCTTCCGCCCGCCGTGCGGTTGCGTCTGCAGTCCGGCCACCTTGCTCTCTCCTGAGCTGTAAAGGTTGATGCCTGCTCTGTGCAAGCTCTCTCCAGAGAGAGATGGACACGCACAGACTGACTTCCCCAGCTTCTCTGTGAGGCTAGCCCCAGGTCCCAGCAGCAGGAACAAGCGTATGGTTTGTGTCGGACCTGTAAGCGGAGGCTGCCACCAGACCATGCGAGCCATATGCTGCTGACTCTCACGTCTCTCTGCCAAAGAGTTGCTCTCTGGTGGTGGTCCAGGGAGGAGGTGCAGGGGGGAGAAAATGCCTGGGCAAGCTTGCCTCAAATTAGCACGAAGTGGCCGCCAGGAGGGTTGCTCGTCTTCGCTCCCACTTTGGCTTCGCTGCCTCTTAGCTGGATGATCCAGGCTTCTGTGGGAATAACATCTGAGGCGTTACAGAAGGCGAACTGAATTCTGCAGCCAAACTTAACTCAGAAGGGAAAGCATTGGTTCCCTGATTATACATTAATAAGGCATATCAAGTTAAATGCCAAAGTGCTAAATTTGAAATATGGGGGAAGCATTAAGACTCCATTTAAAAATAAAGCTGGCAGTTACGTGGACAGAATCCTGCATGGATTTCATGGGCTTCAGCTGTAAATATTTTAACTTGTGCACACACATGCGTTCTGTTCAGGTACATCAATATGTATTTTTTATCCTGTTTTGGGCACCTGGATTTATAGCTTGACCTACCAGTTCTGGCTTCCTTTTTTCTTAGCCCTCCCTCAAGTAAGATTTGTGACACTTTTGATAGTGCTCTCTAAAAATCTGTGTGGAAGCTCTTTCCAGTTGCTTTGCTATTGTGAAATGGTTGTGTTGCCTCTGGAAGTAACTGGCTTTGACTCCTTCAGCTGACAGCAGGGGGCAGCATCACAACCTCCATGTTTCCTACTAACTGTGGCTGAAGAAATATTTCAGAGAAGCCGCAGTCAGGGCAGGATGGACACGTATAACGTCTAGTCGTTGTTAGCAGTGTGACAAAATGGCAGTCTTCAGTTTCTCTTGGTCATTGCTGACTGTCTTTCAGGTGCTCCTCTGATCTTTCCTAATGCAATCTCCAGCACAACTGGATGCATGCCTTCTCAGTTGAAGATGCCACTGAATTCAGTGGGGCTCAGGTTAGTGCATGAGCAGCCTTGCTCCACCTGGTGTCCTTCACCTGGTCGGACACTGTCTCCCTTGATCCCCAGGCAGCTGGAGGGCAGCAGCTCCAGGAAAGCCAGTGTGCAAGATTGTGGCCTTGCTTCACACTGTCCCAAGATCTCAGCTAAGGCTTTACTCATCCCTTTGCCTCTGGGTGTCCTAGAAGTTAAAAGCTCTTGGACTATATAGCAGCCAGTCACTGCTGCATATCCCTGGTGGAAGCAGTGCCAATCTGCCAATGGTGCCTGTGCTGGAGATTGCAGACTCCAAAACCAGTTTTCCAAAACTTTTCTTTTCCTGTGTTTTTCTCCTGTGTTTTCCTGCATTTCCTTCAAGAAGATAGTCTGCTGTCTGCATTGGACAGGATAACATATCTGAAATGCAAATGAGAGCTCTGCATTAATCTGTTCCTGGTCTGAAACTCAAGCCATAACATCCCACAAGTTTTGCATTACATGGAGTGCTTTCTTTTGTCTTAAAGTTGCTGCTTTACCATTTTGAATGGTGGGAGAGGAATAATTTTGCCCTTCCAACTTGTCATATAATTCATGATCACCATCAATTGCCTCTTCTTCTGTTGCCATTTCTTGGCACTTTCTCTTAGCCCAAGAAAACTCTTCAAAGCATTGTTGCTACTAACTGCTGTCTTCTTGGTTACTTTTGCTGCAGACAGACTATTTCCATCTCTTCATCTGTGTGGCTATTGTGGTGATCTATGGGGATGATGTCATTGAACAGCAACTGGCTACTGACCAGATGCTGCTACACTTTGGGAACCTCGCCATGCACATGAATGGGGAGCTCATACTCAGGAAGGTAAATCAGTACCGGGGTCCAAGACAAAACTGCTGGGAAGAAATCTATTGACTGTAGCGCACATAACGTGCCCAATGAGGGAGGGTTTTTTGGGGTCCGTGGGTGGTGAGCCTTTATTCTGACTTACAATAGGCATGTTTTAGACAAGCCTGGCTGTTCCAGATGCCCACTGTCCCCTCTCTTCAGCACACCTAAACATCTCACGCTCTCTCTCTTTCAGGCTAGAAGTTTGCTCTATCAGTTCCGCCTGCTGCCCCGGATCCCCTGCAGCCTGCATGACCTGTGCAAACTCTGCGGAACAGGCATGTAGGACAGTGGCTACATCCCCGCCGTGGAGTGTACTGGAAATCACCCTGACTCTGAGAGCTGCCCATACGGGGGCATGGTGGATGAGCCTTCTCCCAAGTCAGGAAATGAATGCAGAAGGGGGCTTAAAACACGAGAGGTCTTTGCTTTCCGGAAATGACCGTTCAGGATTGTATCCCAGCTACGTGGGGACTGCAAAACGGCGGGCACAGAAAACTCGGCAGATGGCAAGCAAAAGATGAAAGAACAAGGGTGGTTTTCTTCTGATCCCCAAAACAGAGGTGGTCATGGGAGGAGAATACACATGATGCAGAATAGAAGAGTCTCCTGCTTTGTGGTCAGAGCTGGATTTTGATGTGCTTCGTACCGGGAAGAGGGTCAGTCAGACTATGGTGATGCTTTGTAGTTTGGAGCAAATGGAGAGAGAGAGGTTGAGCCTGGCAAATCAGGGTCAAAAGTGACCCAGGATTCCCCGCTTCCCTTGCCGTGTAGGGAATAGTGACTGCTTTAGAAAATGAACCCACAACCAGCAACCCTGATGGTAGGTGAAGGGGCAGGGCCGACCTTGCTCCTTTGCCCAGGTGTACCCACGCACCTATGCATGCACCTATTGCTTTAACCAAAATGCACCACTCCCTGGCTTTATTGTAAAGCCATGATGATCACCTGGAGTACAGTCTGCCAAAAACAATAATAAAATTGCAAACTTTGGGGTTCCCAAAGGAAACATTTCAGCGTGCGTGTAAACGGTCACTGTATTTAAAAAGCCTTCAGTTTTTCTCCATATGCACATCAAATGTTTGCCATTTGGAAAGTCAGAATCAACAGCTTCACTGTGAGTGTAAATTATGCAAAATTACACATCATGCAATATGGACTATTCGATTTAAACTTCTTAAATAAAACATACTGGCAAAAGTTCTTCTCAGTATCCCAAGTAGAGGAAACACTTTGAGGCATTTAGCTTCATTAAGAACTTCTCTGATGAGGACTATAGTGGCCAGAGAAGGAGGGCTATGAACCATTATGTTCTCCTTTCAAACCAGCAGCCTCTTCCCTTTCCATCTGTCGATCCCATGTCCTTCTCTTCTCCAGTTTTACTACTGTTGATTTAACTGTTTCCTGGTTAAAATAGCAAAAAGCACCACACTGTAAATGGTGGGATCACCCTGAAATATTGAGGTGATGAAATGTATGCCTACCTGAATAAGATGAGGATTCATTCAGCCACTTAGTTCAGTTCAAAAGTTATTTAGGTCAAAGGCCAGTATACAACAAAACAATCAACAAACTGTTTAAAAGTAAAAGAGGAACAAAGGGCAAGCTGAAAGGATAGGACCACTATTACTACCAGTATAAACTTTCAACTGCTTATAATTTGGCTCTTCACCAAATAGGGCAGTGGAACTCTTCTTGCTACATCTGTCCAAAAGAGGACCCTTGGATCTAGTCCTGGGGGAAATCTGCAAGCCGGAGTGGTGAGCAAAAGCAGCAACTCAGTTTTTAGCAATTCTTGCTTGATTTAAATCCATTAAAATGGTTATAGTGCACCTGTAAGAGAGAAGCTCCACCCAGCTCTCAGGACAGGTTGCTTTAAAACGTAGGCCATGGACTGAATGAGCTTCCAGGCTCCCACAGGTTGCAAAGTGTCAGGTGTTTTCAGAGATATTAAGTGATGCCTTTGTTAAAAGCCACAGCTGGCCCCTTCACACCCTAGCAAGACCTGCATAACTTGCAACACCTCCCCACTTAGCCAAAGGCAGTCTGTTGCTTTATATGGAAAGGGGAGTTGCCAAGTGCTCCATAATTTCACCTCACTTTAAAAGAAAAAAAAAAAAAAGGTGACAAAGATTTTTTGAACTTCCAGGTGGGTTGGATTGTCTGTCCTTTGGAAGAAGAGGAATCTTTCCAAATATAGCTGAAGGGAACCCAGTGGCTGGGCTATAAAATGTTATCTGATGCTTAGTCCCAATTTTTTTTAAAAAAATGGCCTGGAAATTTCAGAATAAATGCCATTTATTCTCATCAAATTGTGGCAGTGGGTGGGCTGTGTTGTGAGAGCAGTTTCTAATAGAGTGAAGCACTAAGAGGGTGCTTTGCCTGATTTCTGTCGGTTTTTCAAGATTGAAATCCCAGTGGCAGACTGATAGGGCCATACTTGTAGGCTAATCTGACAGATCCATCCCTGCGTTGCAGGGGGGAGAGCAGCCCACAGCAGACCAAGAAGTTACCTTCAATGGGAAACAAAAACCAGATTTTTTTTTTCTGAACCACAGCAGAACCTGGAACATTATTGAAATTCTCTGATCAACTTGGACTGGAACAGAAGAATTCCCAGTTGCCACTTTAGAAGGAAATGAAAAACTTGCAGGGGTACACTTACTGTCTCTACAGGAATTAGAAGGAGCATGTGAAATAAACTCTGCATATGGGAGGCTCTGTTATTTGGGATTTGTATAGCACAGCTTTCCCTCTGTAATGAGCTCAGTTTCAACTTGGGATGTACAGTATTTGGTTGGAATCAAACTGAAGGCCAGCTTCTGCTTTGTGATGGGGTTTGGTCAATACACAAATTGCAACTTTTAAATCTGTTGAAAGCTGGTAATTTTTATTCCTCTAGTTTTATTAAATCAATTAAAATTAATCACAGTGGCTATACTGTAATTCTTCATTAAGCCTTTTTTTTCCTCTTTAACATTGGTTTAGTGGCATCTTCATCTGGACACATTTCTGACTGTATAAATAAATCACTTTGAATAAAATCTTTTATTTATTAAGAACACAGAATTATTTTTTTTTTGGTCTTGTTTCATATAGGCTATGGAGTGGCAATTGCTGCAATGAGTTTAGAGCCCTTTGCTTGCTTTGCCCCATTTTGCAAATGAATTTGCATCCTAATTCTCTTGGGTGAACCAGTATGTTATGCATCCCAGATCAATCACTGCAGATTTATTGAACCGAAGCAGAACTAAGCTAAAGTAGCTTAAATTGCAGCTGAACTGGAGCAGTGACAAAACAAGAGTCTGTCAACAACCCTGCAGTGAAGTTCAGTATCTATCTAAGTGAAGGCAGAAAATTGGGTAGGCAGGAATGCAGCTTTTGGCAGTCTAGCCTTTCCCTATTACTCCTGCACGCAAGAAGTGTTGCTTCTTAAACTCTCTCCTAGGCTAAATACAGTGGGGCAAAAAAGTATTTAGTCAGCCACCAATTGTGCAAGTTCCCCCACTTAAAAAGATGAGAGAGGCCTGT